CACGGAGCATGTCAAATGGGCTGTGATTCTGTTTTTACTCATGACTCATTGTTACCATCTTGTTTGTGGAAACCACTGCTAGACAGAGCTCTATGGGTTTGTTTTCCCATTTTAGCAAGACAAAAATACCTCTACTTTGCACAAGGAACTCTGGCTCTAGGCTTTCTATTTTTTAACACTATCAAAATGCAAATCCAAGCCCAATAGCAGTGCTAAGTGTACGGAGTGATATGAACCTTTAGACAGAAGCTCCTGAAAAGCTATGAGAAAGCTACTCAGAAGCTTCTGACTCGGCTGGAACATCAAATATCTCCACACACGATACTTTTGTGCCTAAAATTTGATTATAATAGCATCATAGAGTGCATAAGGAAATACATAAATACATGCAATATACACATATAACACAAAGAGATATATTATATGCATGCTATGTATACTGTGTATTCTAGCACACAGATAAAATGGAATATTCCACATTCACTAAAACATGCAGATGTGCTGAAATGAAAAAGATACCAAAGCACACTGTTCAGAGGGGGGGAAAAACACAAGTTACAAGACAGAATATATAAGATTATCCTATGTTTGCAAATAATAAACTACATGGCTACATGTATTTAGGGGGAGATCTGGAAAGTTAGTCACCAAACTATTCACGGGGCTACTTAAGGGAGGTGGAACTAGAAAATGGCTTTCTGCTTCTGATCTTCCTATGTTAGAAATTCTTATTTATTTGTATATTATTTTTACCATAAAAATAATAGCCTTCATTCAATTTTTCAGCTTGGGGTTTGGTGTTAAGGATGTGGGAATCTAGGCCACTTCCTTTTAAGTCTGGAACTGGAAAGAATGGGCAAAAAGAATTGAAAATTCCCAAAGCCTGATTCTCATATTAGAAATAATTATTTATGAACATACATTTATTAGGCGTTTTCAAATAAATTATTAGAGGTAAATATTATATTCAATCCAGAATTTTCTTTAAGGTTTCTCCAGAAATGGCAGAGTTATGACAAGTTAAAATGATTTCTTTCTCTAAAATTCACCTAAATGAAGATAATGGATGATATTTATGGTTAGGTTTACAGGGTTAAAAAATTAAATGGTCTCATTTTTCCCCAAAGGGATGAGTCTCTGATGGTCATTTTGGGGTTTCCCATTAGATCATATACAAAGTGACCTGAAGTTAGCCTGTGGAAGACACGGGACAGCTGAATGGCAGTGCCTAGACCAAGTCTTTGACCCAATGACTGCTAATCTGGCTGCCCCAAAGCCTCATAAAATGACCTAACAGTGACCTTCAGGATGGGGCCTCAAAGTTGCATTCACACACTAGTTATTAACATCAGAAAACCAGTCCATCTTCCATTGTGGAACCCACTGCCCTCCAGAAGCTGAGGCTAGACTGCTCCAGAATTGACACAGAAGAACGGTCTAGCAATAAGTAAGGTGAACCAGGGATCAAATGAAGGGCTTCTAACTCATTTTGACCACTAACGTGAAGTTGCCTATCATCAGGATGCTGTCAGCTAAGCATAGATTCCCAAGAACAAGCGCTGTTTAACCTAAAAGTGTAATGGCATCTAGTCAATACAGCCTGGAGCATCCTTTGTCAAAGCACAGGAACACCTTCCAAAAGGCTCGGCCTCTCCTCCACACAGCCAGCACTTCTTCTCTCAACGGATGACTAGATCCTGGATCTTTATCTCCTTTTGGAGGTCCTTGGAAACACAGAGATTCTCAACCAGTAGGATGTCCACTGTTTGCAGATTTCCAGTCATTTCTACTTCTGCCTCCGTGAACTCACTCCCTGCATCACCTGGAATCGAACAACTGATGCTTATGAGCTGTGGAGATAGACCATCTCCTATTCTCTTCTCTAGGACACTGATTCACATCCACCACCGGGGAATTTTCCCGCCTTTTCTTTGAGAAGACAATCAGGATCAGATACTCTCTATAGAGCTAATAAATAAATGAACCAAGTCTCAGGAGGTTAGCATGTCATTTTCTTCTCGTTGCTACAAAGCCAGGTAGGGAAGGGCAGGACCCTCCTCCTTCTGGGGAGTCTGGATCCAGTCTCTGTCTGTCTAGTGACACACATATCACCCTCTCCCTGGATTTCTGCAGAGAACAGCAGAGACAGAAGAAAGCGCCGACTCTGGAGTCCCTGACAACTGACTTCCCCATGCACTATCAGGGGCCAGAGCTAACTATGCAGCCAACCTGATCACAGAGGAGACCGAAGACGCTGGCAGACCACTAGATGATTTGGACTGCAAACTACATCTGAAACAAACGGCTATGGAATGTCTAGGTTTTGAAAAAGCACATCTAGGGATGAAGAGATGGCTCAGTAGTTAAGAGCACTTGTTGTTCTTGCAGAGGACCCAGGTTCGGTTCCCAGCACCCACAGAGTGGCTCATAACTATTGGTAACTCCAGTTCCAGGGAATCTGGAAACAAAAATATATTATATTTTTTAATTATATAATATATTTTAAGCAAAAATATAATATATATCAGGAGACAAAAATATATTATAAATATGTTACACATGCTCTTTTCTGGCCTACTGGAGCACCAGGTACACATTCATACATGAAGATAAGAACACTCATCTGTAAAATAAAATAAATACATCTATTTTTTAAAAAATACAAATAAATGAACATAGAAATAAAAATGTTTTTGATTAAAGTACTTCCCGGTCACTTTCTTCTGAAAAAAAGCATAGGCTGTAATCAGAATACTGAGTGCTTCGGAAATGCTCTCTTGAGTCCCTTCCTAACTTCCTTCTTCACTGTGACTCAAACCATCAAACAAGAGACTACCAACGCGGCTTAGATTCTGTAATATATATTGTGTTGGTGAACTGTCACGTGCTGTTTGTGCTTACCGAGAAGTCAGCTCTAGAAGCAACGCTGCCCCTCCTCCTATTCCCCAAGAATATTTTGGCCACTCCAGAATCAACCGTGTTCATGTCAAGGGCTCTCTACAACCCGCTGCTCTGAATCAGGCTGGCCCCAGCTCTGTAACAGGGGGAGGGAAAAACAGAAAGCAGCTAAAGGTATTAAAAACATCATGCCTCTAGAAGGCTAACTATTTCCAAGCAAGGTTATTATGCTTATCCCATGACCAAAAAAAAAAAAAATGCCTGAGGTGAGAACTAGAAGCTGGAAGCTTATCCACATGAAGGATGGAGAGACCACGCCACCCACAACGCTCTCAATCAGGAATTCCAGCTGACTGACTCAGTTTCCCCAGTCAGTTCAACTGGATGATTGCTAGCCCCCAATTTGATGTTACCCTTGTGGGCTCTCTGGCCCTCTCAGCTGGATATTAAGGATACTTGAATTGATAATTTGATGCGTCTTCCTATCAACTACTCACCATTGTTCACTTCTATATGCTGTATATTTAATAACCCCACTCATTCAAAACCCACGAGCACGGCTATTGCAGATTATTCTCCAGACCCTCAGAGAAGCAAATCTAGAGTAAGTCCCAACTCTAATAAGTGCTAATCTAGGAGGAGACATTACATTCATAAATAGCAATACAGTCAGGCTCTAGGGCTGTAAAACAACATTTCAAGAGATAAAAAATACATTATAAATATGTTACACATCTAGAATATTTAAATGGCCAGGCGCAGTGGCCCATGCCTTTAATCCCAGCACTCTGGAGACAGAAGCAGGTAGACCTCTGTGTCTGAGGCCAGCCTGGTCTACATACTCAATTCCAGAACAGCCCAGGCTAGTAGGGAAACCCTGTCTCAAAACAAAAACAAAGGATATTTAACTATAATGCAGATAAAAATTAGATGAGACTAAATGTATACAAAAAAATGTATACAAAAAAAACCAAACATGTCCCTGGGAAAGAGAAGTTTGATGTTTCTGGACTACTGTCCAGAACATTAGAGATGGAAAAGGCTGGAGATGAGCTAAGGGATAGGCTGAGAACTTCCACATCACAAACCTGGTTTAGATATGAGTTGAAGGGGCTTATGCTGGTCTGGGGTAAAGGAGACTAACAAAACCTTCTCTAGGAACCTGGCAGGAGGCTGGGGCAGCATCCCCACAGAAGGTATTGGTGTTCATGGTCCATCATCTGCCAGGGGCTACTCAGTATCAACCTTCTGAACGGCTGACGGCCACTGAGCGGCCAGGATGGCGGCATTCCAAACCCAGCAGCTTGCGCCTTCGCCATCACACTCAGCAGTCCAGCAAACGCCGTTTTCTCTGCCTTCAGAACAAGTCCTGCATTTGGCCACTGCTCCCCATCGCCTTGTCTCCAACCTCATCTAAGCGCCACCCTCCCAAGAGCCAGTCCTTAAGAAGCCGAGTCACAGCGCCCTCCCCATTCCTGTGGTTCCCCCACATCAATCTCAGAATGGAACCCAAGGTCAACACCCCGGCCTTAACCACCTTCCCTCAGCCTCCCACTGCCCTTCCCCACTCCGTGCCTGCTTCTACCACAGCTTCTGCACCAACAAACCCTGTTTATCCCCTCCGTGGGCTTACCAAGAAGCAGCTTCCTGCAGCCCTTCCCCCGGGATTCTGTGTCTGCAGGGTCTCTCACACTTCAGTTCCATGAATTCTGAACCCTGTCTGCGGCCCCAGAAATCACTCCAGGACCTGGTAGAGGGAGGACTCAGCGAGTGTGCTGCACGAAGCAGTTAATAAGTGGAAAATTTTCTTATATCTCATGGGATAAAAACAAGGTCAATGGGCTAAGAGTCGGACTACTGCGCCAGGCAGTGGTGGCGCACGCCTTTAATCCCAGCACTCGGGAGGCAGAGGCAGGTAGATCTCTGTGAGTTCGAGGCCAGCCAGGTCTACAAGAGCTAGTTACGGGACAGGCTCCAAAAGCTACAGAGAAATCCTGTCTCAAAAAACAAACAAACAAACAAACAAAAATCAGACAACTGCAATTTCTCTTGTTTCAGCCCTTACAAAATGTCTCAGACCCGCGTGACGTCCTGCGTGCGGCGGCTGCGTCTGGTAGCAGGAGAAGATGGCGGTCTCCACAGGAGTTAAAGTTCCTCAGAATTTTCGCTTGTTGGAAGAACTTGAAGAAGGACAGAAAGGAGTAGGTGATGGTACGGTTGGCTGGGGCCTTGAAGATGATGAAGACATGACACTTACAAGGTGGACAGGCATGATCACTGGGCCACCAAGGACAGACTATGAAAACAGAATATATAGTCTGAAGGTAGAATGTGGATCTAAATATCCAGAAGCTCCTCCATCTGTTAGATTTGTAACAAAAATTAATATGAATGGGATCAATAATTCCAGCGGAATGGTGGATGCACGAAGCATACCAGTATTAGCAAAATGACAAAATTCCTATAGCATTAAAGTTGTCCTGCATTAAAGTTGTCCTCCAAGAGCTAAGATGTCTAATGATGTCCAAAGAAAATATGAAGCTTCCACAGCCACCAGAAGGACAGGCTTACAACAACTGATTTTAGTGGATCTCAAACTTGTCTTAAATCAACAACCTTCTACTCATGTTAATGTCTGGATTAAATATCACCATGCAAAATACCCACACATTAAGTAAAAGAATTCCAGCCGGTAAACATGACCTGGACAGTTGTAAGAATATATTTAATATATGGACACCTAGTATGTTTTCAGGGTAACAGGAGAAGTGCAGCACAATTTTTCTTCCTCTTCTTAAAGCACTGTCATTTAAACATGAGCCTGAAGTATTCAAAGTTGAATTCAGGTTTTTAAGACAAAAGCATGGCAAAGGAGTGTCAGATGGCAGTGGAAACCTTCGTCTTTCTGAACAATAAAGTCTCAAGAAGGAAGAACAGAATGGCATGCTTTATCCATCGTCCTTAGACTACAGCGAACTGTTTAAAGTAGCAGGTGTAATGAGTAGCCACAGTTGTGTTAACCCGAAGTGGGGTGTGGGCGCTGACTACTATAGCATCAAAAATAGCTTCAGGATTGTCTTGATACCTGTATTTATAATAAAAAAGATGTTTGGGGGTATTGATGAATCTCTGTTAAAAGCTGTTCCCGTTTGTTCCATGTAACAGACATGATAAATACTTGTTTACAGTCTTTGTTTAATAAAACATGCTTAGAGGTTTTAAGTGAAGCAATGAAAAGGAAATAGGTGTATGGATATGTGGTTTCCGATCAAAGTTAGTCTTGAAATGTAAATCAAATGTGGAATGTGGGGGGAAAAAAAACAAAATGTCTCAGACCATCCTCTCAAACTAAACACCTTTATTAATGTTCAGTCATTGCACAGGGATGAGGTCCTTGCCTCCCAGTAGGACAGGAACATTTATCAAATGAATCTAGGGCCAGAGGAGACACGAGAGTCCCACAGGGCCACAAGCCACATCAGCTGTCCGGCAGGTGCCAGTGCTGTTTCCAAACCTGCTGTCTCTGATGCCACAGAGGGAGAGAAAAGGTGACAGAAAGGACCCTGCATATATACCAGAAAACTGGGTTTGGGCACCTGTGTCTGACCCTCTCAGATCTTGCCACTTGTGAGAAGTAACATGGTCAACAACAACTGATGGTTCCCAACGCTATGAAGAAGTTAGGTTAAGGGCCCACTCAGCCGGGAGGGAAAGGAGAGCAAAAAGGGCCTTCTACATACACACTTACCTCACAACCGCCAGAATTCATGCTTCTGCAAAGGTGGCAGGGAAAATTCATACTCAGTTAGTTTGAGAGTCATGGGAAGACATGAAAGTTTGCATCTGCTTTTTCACGTTGGTTTAGGAAAAAAAGTGTGTGTGTGTGTGTGTGTGTGTGTGTGTGTGTGTGTGTGTAAGACAGTTACATATACAAGTTCCCCCAGGCCAGAGAAGGCACTGGATTCCTCCCCACATTACTGCTTCGAGGCAGGGTTTCTCCCTGAACTTGGAGCTCCTGTTTTATCAGGTAGGCAATCCTCCTGTCTCCACCTTCATAATACTAAGATAATACAAGCAAAACTGTGAGGCTGATGACATGAACGCTGGGATAAAAGGTCAGGTCTGGGGCTGACGAACCGTTGCTCAGTGGTTGAGAGCAGTTGCTGCTCTTGGAGAACGCACGGTTTGGTACCCATCTCCTCCACTGTGGCTCGCCACCATCTGTAATTCCAGTTCCAGGGTATTTCAATGCCCTTTGCTGACCTCCGTGGGCACCAGGTATGTATGCATGCAAAACACTTATATACATAAAAAGAAAATAATTTTAAAAAAAAAAACCCTCAGATCTTATAAGCGCTTTCAACCGCTGAGATGTCTCTTTGTCCCCCCAACAAAATTAAAGCTTAGAGAAGAGAAACAGACATGGCTGCTACCCTACCGTTTTAATAATGGTCATTTTGTCATAGGTTCTGCCAGAGAATCTAAGTGTGTGACAAACCTTGGCATCTCCAGGTGTGCAAGGCTACCATTCACCCTGCTGGGCCTCTAGGCCCACCATGTCCTGAGTCACTCTGAGGTACAAATTATCCCTCTGTCCATTGTCCATCTATTCCTTCTGGTTCAGGTAAGAAGGACTGCAGGGGTAAGAAAGAAATAAAATGAGGGTGGATGCGATTTTTTAAAAAAAGTCCTTTTTTTTTTCCATTTATAAAACTAACCCATCGACTTCACCTGAAAGACAGATAGGACCACACTCCCTAAATATCAATTAAGAACATTCAGAATTGGCTGAGTAGTCTGAAGGAAGAGAGCAGCAATCGGCGCCCTGGGCACACTCTTGGATAAATGGCTCCTTCCCCCAAAGTTCTGACTCAGAGTGTGAACAAGGATGTAGAAGGGGGTAGGGGATGGACAGCAGCGTTTGAATGCTGCAGGTTGTCCTGGTTCACATAAGATGAAAGTTGTGAGCCACTCTGGCCTGCTTCACAAAGGAACCTGCCATGTCTGCCTCATGAGATTCTGTCCTACTGGTTCAAATGGCTTCCGGGAGGCCACCTACTGACTCCAAGGCAGAGCAAGACTACGACAATCAGTATTGAATTCAAAACAACAACTATAATCTTCCTTGTAGTAGATGTGGTTGTGAATGCAAGACCAAATTTCCATGGCACACTACTTCCCACTGTTAATCTTCCCTGCTCCTGTTATTCCTCCAATGCGCACTGAGGGCCTATAAAGGCATGGGTTAGGCCCTGAAGCTCTGGGAGGGATGGATAAGATGCAGTGACCTTACCAGTGGGCAGCTGTCTAAGAGGCCGGCTCACAGAGGCAGGGACATGCACAACGGTACCAAGGTATGTGGCAGGGCTCCCTCCTACACTGGCCAGGGAGCACTGGCCAGGACAAAGGCTCCAGGAAGGACCATGGTTTCAGCTTTAGCATACCTGATAAATGTCATCCCTAAAACATGATATTGGGGGGGGACTGGAGAGATGGCTCAGTGATTAAAAACATTGCCTTCCCTTCTAAAGGTTCTGAGTTCAATTCCCAGCAACGACATGGTGGCTCACAACCATCTGTAATGAGGTCTGGAGCCCTTGTATACATAATAAATAAATAATATTTTTAAAAAATGATATTGGTCCACTTCTGTTGCTGTCTCCCATAGATAGTACTGAGGAAGATGAAGAAAAGGTGAGGAGCCCTGTTGCATAGTGATATCTTCAGAATTGAAATATTCCTAGAAGAAAGCACGAAACTCATAAAACGCAGGAAGCTAAAGAAACATACAAGGCTCAGGAAACTCACAACCATTACAAGACTCAGAAAGCCCTCCCCCACAGGTCCAGAAACAGTAACATTTGCTGGGAAGAGCAGACTCTCTGGTGAACCTGCCCACAAGTCATGCAAAGATCAGTTTCTGTGAGTCACTACCCGTGCCACGGTGGCCTTTTCAGTGACATAGCTACCTCTGACTAACTTGTGACCTGTGAGTAACGTGTTACATATGTTTCTGTCAGTGACCCCAATAAATTCAAACTAGACTTGGTGGAATTGTTTCTTTGTTCTGTCATCGGTATCCTGTCTAGGGCAAATACGCAGTTGCTCTTATCTCCTCAGGAAGTCACACAAGCCCATAAAGAAACCTTGTCAGCCACCTCACGTTTTAGCCATGTGGCGACCAAGAGGGCAGAACTTTGCTGACCTTGGAAATTCATTCATCACTCACTCCCTAATTTCTGAGATGACCTCTTCCTCTTGGGCAGTGAAGCCAGCTCTGACAGCTCAAAGCTGAATCAGTCACAGCCGGTCACAGTTCCCGGCCTCCAGGAGCTCCCTGTTCGTTGTAGGAAGTACAGTTTTACAGAATCTTAAAACAGATCCCCGAACAAGAGCAATTCGGGTAACAAGCCCTAGAAGTGTCGCAGCTCCCCGAAGCTGAGCAGTAAATGCTAATCATGCAAAACACAAGACGAGAGGAGAAGGTTTTCTGTCCTGCGCCAGGTCCTTCCATCCACCCACACGACAATGCATTTGAATAACACGACATGGTGTGTCAGACAGAACACATGACCTTTGGAGCTGGGAAGAACCACAGCCTGCATTAGGCCACGCAGAGATACCACTGTGCTGTGAACTATGGGACCCAGGTGATCGGCACAGATTTCGAAAGCAACTAAGCAAGATTAGGAGACCTGAGTCAGAATAATCAGATCGTGAGGTTTCTCATACTGGTAAAAGAAAAAAAAAATACTGGTGAGGTAGACAGATTTATTCTGTTCGCTGACATTTTAAAATGCCATCGACTGTTACCATTATTTCAAGGCAATTTTAAAAGCAACAAAAAGAAAACGAAGATCTCTACCTCTCAATTAAGAAAACTCTTTAGAATTGAATTTATTCTTAGAGAAAACCCCGTCCATTGCTTTTAATACAGACGGTCTCAGGAACCACTGTGGTTCAAGGACCTGCATCTGGGAGTTAACTGAATTGAAGCTGCAGGGCGATTGGTAAAGAAAAGTCCCCAGACTATCTTGATACAAAATATACAGCTTTAATAAACAGAAGTAAGACTTACAACAGCTTACACCAGAATCCAAACGATCCATCCGGATGCAGGAGCCAGGCGAAAAGAGAGCTAGCGGAGCGTGCTTGCTAGGTTTATAGGCAGGCTTTTGCCTGAGGGCGGCACACCCCAAAAACAGAATGTGATTGGCTGAACTCCCCTATCACTGAATTACAACATTTTAAAATTACAAATAACCATGTCTGGCCACCCCATCATGCTTCATTTCCTTGTGTAACATACTTGACTAGCATGTCCAGTTAGCTGCAAGAGCAACCTTGTGGTAAGACCATTTTGATACATGAACATCTTGACATGTAAAGTATAAAATTATAATTGAGGCTTTTGGGGGTAACAGCATAAAATGCCCACTATTCTAAAATATAAAGAAAACTGAGAATCCCGTTAGTGCTTTCAACCCTAAACCCAGCACTCACCTCTGTGCCATTCACTCACCAACATTAAGCCAATCTGAAGGAGCAAGGGATGGTGTGTGTCCCAATATTGGAGCCCAGGGGAAGGAAAAGGGGGCATCCAAAAAGGTAGTAGGAAAAGGGACCAAGAATATCTGTTTCCCATCTAGTTTAGAAAAAAATAAGGAAGGACTAGGGGTGCAGCTCGGTTAGCAGTGTACCTTCCCAGCATGCTCAGAGTCCTAGTACTGTACACACTGGAAGCAGAGGTACACACCTGTAATGCCAGGACTCAGGAGGTGGATGCCAAGGACCAGAAATTCAAAGCCATCCTCAGCTACACATCAAGTTTTAGACCTCCCTGTATGTGAGACCGTGTCTCACAAAAAAAATTTAAGAGAGTTGGTAACTTGGTAAGTTTTCCTGTCGCCTTAAACAACATGTTCAGATATTCAGGGTCCCAGGGACCACATCAGCAGCCTGAGCTACAATGTGCAGGGCATCAAGGAGCAATGCCAAACCTCAGAGTTTGA